AACTCTCGGACCGCGAGATCGTGACCTGGCTGAAGTCGGACGCTTAACCGACTACGCCACCCAGGCGCCCCTGTTTATTCTTTTAACAGAACTTCTGTCAAGTCCTCTAAAATCTTCCCCACCTTTTTTCTTTTTTAAAGTAGGTCTGGGTGTAGTTCTGATCATTATATGCTTGTAATTTCGTATATTGCTTTCTTAATTTTATATTATATCATAAACACTTTCCTACCTACTGCCATATTTATGATAATCAAATTATAATTTTATCATTTGGGTATTAATTTTGTATTAATTGTGCTTGACTTTTCACATAATATATCCATCAAAATTTAATTAAATATATTCTGATTTTTTTTTTTCCCAATTAGAGTGCTTTCACATTTTCTAAAATGAAATTTTCTAGATTTAATTCTTCTAGGTCATTAACTGTGCTGATCCAGAAAGCCCTGGGTTTACTGTTTCACAGTGCAGAGTTTTGACTTAGGTTATGTTATCGAGATGATCGTTAGTGACAGATGATTGTTATATACAGACTTTATTCATTAGGACTCTAAGAGTTCATCCCTAGGACCCCTACCTAAGACCCAAGTCGTTTGACAGAAAGAGACTCCAAGGGAAGTTGGGAATTTTCTCATTCAGGCAGGGAAATGCCACAGTTGTGCAGAAAAAGCACAAATCTATAAGGTGCTGGGGATCTATAGCTTGATCCCCAGAACCCTATATGGGTCCCATGCTAAGCCACAGAAAAGTTGTCTAATGTTGACATTGAAAAGTATTGCCTTCCCTACTTTTAACTCCCCAAATCTGCACTAGATATGTAACCTACTAAGCAATTATATATCCACACATGTGCTCATTTGACGTAATGGCTCATACTTGCCTACTGTGGAATTGTGCCTCTGCAGAGTTTATACAAATGCCTTACGTGGAAGTAGAAAATCCATAGAATTATGGAATCTTGGCTGAAATTACCTTGAAAGCTTGCTCAGTTCCCTTTCATTTTCACAGACCTGTAATCGAACCATTTTAAAGGGGTGAGAGTGTTCTGTATTTAAAAGAGTCCTGTGAGGGGCGCCTGGGTCGCTCAGTCTGGTTAAGCATCTGACTTCGGCTCAGGTCGTGATCTCATGGTTCGAACACAGAGCCCGGAGCCTGCTTCAGCTTCTGTGTCTCCCTCTCTCTCTGTCCCTCCCCTGCTCTCTCTCAAGAATAAATACACATTAAAAAAATCAAAACAATTTTTAAGAGTCCTGTGAAGAGAATTGCGTTCACTTTTCACTTTCGCATCTTGATATCCATCTCTATTGGAAACATTTTTTTTGATAAATTATTTTGCTGAAGTAGAAGTCTTTTGTCTGATATCCAGTGACGATAGATCACTGGATATTTGTGCCAAATATTTGCGTTGGTGCTAAAAGAGAAAACCTCTATCTTTCACTCTAGGTAAGCTTGCCTTTTCTAGCTTCTGTCCTTTTCTTTTGACTCAACCTGGGGTATCAGGTTGAGGTTGGGCATTCTGGAAGATTCTGCCTGATTTCAGCCATGTATATTATGCAGCTACACCATGTGTGCACTGAACCTACGTAGACAGGCACTGGTACAGATAATGTGGATGCATCGTTATTTTATACGGTGTGTGTATGGCATGAGGGCATAAAGACCTCTAGTGCAAGTAAGGTACTCTGTCCACGGTCCTCAGCCAGGTTGTATGTGTTTCCCTACCTGCTTCTTTAGCCATAGTCCCATGCCTCTGTCGTGGAACGGACAGGAGTAGTGATGGAGTTGGGCATTGCGAGGTTTGTAGTTTGAGGCCATGCACTGTTGTGTGTTTCTCTAAACCTTAGTCTGAAAGACGGTGGGGCAGGGAAGACAGTGGGGCCGCCATATTCTATTTATCTCCCATTTCATCCCCGGGGCCAAGTGGTCTATAAAGATGTGAACCAGGTCCTCTTCCTTTCCAGGTTCCACTCATGCCAGTTGTCCTAGTTGCCCAGACTTCTGGGTGAGGTATGGCGACCACTGTTACTACTTCTCAGTGGAGAAAAGCAACTGGGATTCTAGTCTGGACTTCTGCTTAGCTGAAGACTCCCATCTCCTTATGCTTACAGGCAACCAGGAAATGGTAAATGAAAACACTTAGCAAATGTAGGGTTTTTGTTGTTGTTGTTGATGAGTGCTGCTCCAGTGTATCATGTCTCCTCTTTTGAGGAACAGAAGGAACATTCTTCTCTTTCTCTCTCCTGCCCTCTCCTCTTTCTATTCCTTCCTTCCTCCTCCTCTCCCCCTGCCTCCCTCCTTTTCCTTCGTATTCCTTACCCTTTCTCTCCCTGACCCAGCAGCCCTCAGGTGTGGACGCCTAGATGTTTGCAGACTCAGGTGTGTGTGTAGGTGTGTGTGTTGGAGGCGGAAGGATGGTGAGTATTACAGACAGGAATTAGGCCTGAAATACAGGTCGAAGGAAAAGAACGCATTAGATCCAGAAACAGATGGGTCCAGCACCCAGGAGGCATCAGAGTCCTATGCAGGAGCTGGTGGAATTTCGAAGGGAGTGGGGGAGAGAGGTGATGGGGGACAAAGAGACAGTGGCAAGGGCTTACATGCCTTTTTCATGAATTTCCCTTCATTCATTGGAATCCAGTAAGTTCCAGGCTAGGAGACGGTTGGGAATGATGGGGAGGGCATGGGGAGGAAGCAGTTCCAGAAAGCTGGGAAAGAAGAAAGGAGAGGGGGGTGGGGCGGGGATCTTAACCTCCTTGCAGGGCTAAGCTGGGCTAACCTCCACTTCCTACTGGACTCTCAGATCCTTTCTGTCCACCCAGGAGTCTCCGGGAGGAGAGCTCATTGTTAATCCTAGAGCAGCTCCAGGTAATAGAAGGAGTTGACATCCTGAGGTAACTTGAAAGCCTGACGCAGGACTGGAACCCACATACCACGAGGTCGTGACCTGGGCCGAAGTCGGGTGCTTAACCGACTGAGCCACCCCAGCGCCCCTGATTTTTGTGTGGTGGTAATTGTTTTACGTATTCTCTTTTGGGTAGAATCAAGTCCCAGAGAACAGTTTGTTCAGAATTGAGCTATACCTGTGGAAATAACGTTGTGTGGTGACACACGCTAACTACTTTGGTAGCATTGCGTACCACGTAGAGCTGTCCGATCACCATGTTGTACATCTGAAGCTAATGTCACATCGGGTGTCAACTATACTTCAAGTTAAAAAACAAAAACAAAAACATTCTTTAGGGAAATTCAGGGAGGTAATCATTCTGACGCTGTTGAAGAGAACATATAGTCCCTACATTTTTCTACTTTCCTATTTTGAGAAAAGACGGAAGCATCTAGATTCCTTGTTTTCCGTCAAGTGAGGAATGCTGTCATTCCTCTGAAATTCTGCGTGGACTCTGACTCCAAATCAGTCCCGCTCTGTGACTTCCCTTTCTTGTATGCCTTTGCCAAACCACGTGGCAGAATGCACCGGGGTCTATTCGTGAGATACAGGAGATTTTATGGCATCTGATAATAATAGCCTTGCTTTCTGGGCCTTTTGCAGCAACCGCTGTTCTCACCGTGATATAGCTGCAGCGGAGGACTCGAGCTGACTAAAGTCAATAGCAGAAGTGAGCAGAGAGCTTGCAACATTGCAGGGCAGAGACTGGTAAATAGAGTAGTGAGTCATAATGCGAGACCCTGCCACCGAGAAGTGTGATATGGCAGCTATTATAAACGAGACACTGTGGTAATGAGAGCTGAGGACGAAAAGGGCGAAGGCACGGAATATCTGGGGCTTCGGGATATTTCTATTTCTCTGTGCTCCCCCGAAGGAATAGAGGGGGTATGAGAGGGATTTTTGTCTGTCTTTACTTTCCTTGAATCCTGCCTCTGCTGTTGAGTGAGCTGAGCAGAGTTAGATGGGCTACCTTTCCAAAACTGGCTTATTTTCTCTTAAGGCCCCTTGTTTCAGGTCTGTGCTAGAGAGGGTAGAAGGCCCCTAGCAGATTTAGTAGCAATCACCGGGAAGTTTCGCTTCTGACATTCCTGTGGAACCTTGCTTGATTCCCGGGTCTCTTTTTCTTGCCCCCAGCTGTTGTCAGATTCTATAGAACCAGAATCTGGCTTGCCCTTCTGTCTTAGATCAGTTACAGCAAAGTGAATAATAATAATAATAATAATAAGAAGAAGAAGAAGAAGAAGAAGAAGAAGAAGAAGAAGAAGAAACTAACATATACTGAGGCTTTGCCAAGTGCCAGATATTTTGTGTATATTATTCTCAATCTTCATAGCCCATCCTACGAAGTCAAGTTCAACATCTCCATTTACTGATGAGTGCGTACTTGATGAATAACAGTTAGTGAACAAGTAGAAGGCTACAAATCTGGCAGACCTACACCGTTTTTTTCAGAGTCGGATTTTAACCTCCACGTCAGCCAACCTTTTGAAGTCACTTACAGGATTATTGTATTGGATGGCTTTCGGATCCATCCCGTGTGTGAAGAATGAGATGACTCTTCCTATTAATTGTCTTCTGTGCCTTTTCTTTTTCTTTCTTTTTTTTTTTTAAAATGTTTATTTAGTTTTGAGAGAGAGAGAGCAGGAGCAGGGGAGGGGCAGAGAGAGAGAGGGAGACACAGAATCTGAAACAGGCTCCAGGCTCTGAGCTGTCAGCACAGAGCTGGACGCGGGGCTCCAACCCACAAACCGTGCGATCATGATCTGAGTCGAAGTCAGATGTTTAACCAACTGAGCCACCCAGGTGCCCCATTCTGTGCCTTTTCTATTCACATTCAGAAAAGTATTTGAATTTGAAATCCAGAACGTACAGTACATGACTCTTAGGATTGAAATATATTTTTTAAATTTTTATTATTTTTTTATTTAAAACATTTTTAATGTTTGTTTTTGAGAGAGAGAGAGAGAGAGAGAGAGTGAGCATAAGCAGGGGAGGGGCAGAGGTGGGGGGGGGGCGGACAGAAGATCTGAAGCGGGCCCTGGGCTGATAGCAGAGAGCCCAATGCAGGGCTTGAACTCATGACCCGTGAATCATGCATGACCTGAGCTGAAGTCGGCCACTTAACCAACTGAGCCACCCAGGGGCCCCTTAAATATATTTAAAGTAGTGAGATGCTCACTTACTATCTCTTTTTTCTATCTTGCACTTAAACATTTTATTTTTGAGAAAGTAATAACAAAATGGAAATGGAATTGCTCTGTTAATTCGGTTTTCCGTTTACATTATGACACTTCCTCTTTGTTCTTTTTCTTGCTCTTTGAATTGCTCTTTAGATCTTTAGATACATCCAAATTCTTGATTTTTTTTTCATTAGGCTCCGTTTTTAGGATGTTAGCATTTGTTTCTTATGGTTGTTGGTGTGTTATTTTAAAATATATTTTGACTAGAGAGTACCCGGTGGGAATACTTTGGTTTCTTTAAATCTATCCTGACGCCCCTCACCCTGTAATACCTTTCTCCCTCATTACCATCATTTGGGATTATATCATCAGACTCTATTCTTTTAACAACCTCTCATTCAGCTTTAACCATCTGCCCTCTCAGGGTTTGTGACTTTGAGATTGTCTGTCTTCCTCCCGAACTTTTAATACTAGCTTTTCTTATGTTTAGGGTTTGCATCTAAATAGTCTCAAGATTTCCTTCTTTGGATACTGCGGTACAGACACTATGATATCATGGGCACTCTCCCTCCTATTTTAAAGTAGAATCAGGTAACAGAAAGTTAAAAAAAAATTTTTTTTTAATGTTTATTTATTTTTGAGAGAGAGACAGAGTGTGAGTGGGGGAGGAGCAGAGAGAGAGGGAGACACAGAATCCGAAGCAGGCTCCAGGCTCCGAGCTGTCAGCACAGAGCCCGATGTGAGGCTAGAACTCACGAACCGTGAGATCATGACCTGAGCTGAAGTTGGACGCTTACCGACTGAGCCACCCAGGCCCCCCCCGAAAGTTTTTTTTTTATAGTTTTTTTAATAGGTTTTTTTTCAGACAGTCTTGAGTTCGTTTTTACTACATTGCTTGCTAGCTGTGTGAAGTTTCCTTAACCTCTTTGACTCTCAGTTGCCTCAGGGACAAAGAGGAAAAACATTCCAGAACTGTTACGATATTAAATGAGAAAATCTGTGTGGAAGTTTCTTTACCGTAGTAGGAATCACTTAATTTTAGGTTTTTTTTTCTTTTCCAATTCTTTAACGAATTCTCCTTGTCACTCAAAATAAAGCTCAGCATCACAATAACTTTTATTTTTCTCTTCTGCCTCCCAAGACATGAAATTTCAACAAATATGTATCACAAAGTAAGTTGTGACTTGTTGAATTGAATATGTTCCTTACCAGGAGATATGAAATATGTTTGAAGACTCAAAGAAATGGCTGGAAACACAGGGTCGATGGTAGGAGAACTGTTTTGCTCTGGAGATGCCGATAGTCTCGTAATGTCTGTGTTTTTTTTGTCACCCTTCCTTCATAAACAGATTGAGCAGCAGTTGTGACCTTCACACCAAAAGTGTAGGTGTGGTAGACAGTTAAGATATCTCTCGCTATCTTTGTTTTTTTTTTTTTTTAACATTTTACAAAATTGTGGTAAAATATGCTTAACGTAAAATTAACCATTTTAACCATTTTCAAATGTACAATTAAGTGGCATTAAGTACCTTCACATTGTTGTGCAACCGTCACCACTGTTCATCTCCAGAACTTTTTCATCGTCCCAAACTAAAACTCTGTACCCATTAAACAATAACTCCCCGTTCCCTCTCCCCCCATCCCCTACCCCCCAACCGCTGGGAACCACTGTTCTTTTTGTTCTTTGCCCATTATGTCCTTTCATATCTGGCTTATTTCACTTAGCATGCTTTCAAGGTCCTTTCAGGCTGTGGCATGTGGCAGAATTTCATTCCTTTTCTGGCCAAATGGTGTTATGGTGTTCAATGACATGGATATACCACGTTTTGTTAATTCATTCCTCTGTCAATGGGCAGTTCCAATATCTTTTGAATATTGTAGCAGGGATAGAGTAGTAATCAATAAAAATTCTTGCTATTGTAGTGCTTACTTTTGGAGGAAAGACAGATAACAAATAAATTTGGTGATATATGCCTTGAAGAAAATGAAACCGTGTGATAGTGAATGTAGGTACTACTTTAGATTGGCCAACTAAGGAAGGCCTCCCCAAGGAGGTAGCATTTGAGCTGAGACCTAGGCCTGAATGACAGCCATGTAAAAATCTAAGGAAAGGGCATTCCAGGCAGAGGGAAAAGCTACATAAAGACCCTAAAGTAAAAATGACCTTGGCATGTTAAAAGAATAGAAAAAAGCTTCAGGCGACTGGAAGCTAGTAATTGAATAAATGCTTGGCAGGATCTAGATCGTGTAAAACCTTGTAATGCATAGTAAAGATTTTAGATTTTATTCTATGTGAAAGAGGAAATCATCAGAGAGCATGAATCAGGGGCACAATGTGATCTTATTTATTACTAGAAGGGGAGTGCCTCCTATAACGCGGAAGTTTAGCACTAGGAGAGAAAACTTGGACGCGTATTCAGTAAGGAGCATTGGGTCAGCCCGTTCACCCATGTGAACTTTTTTACCCTTCTAGATAGAAGAACAGGATAATTCTGGTGTATCTTTCGGGGCTTTATTTTATAACTGGAAAAAATCCTTGCGAATACCTGAACTAAATCCTCTTAAGGAAACTCCAACTCAGCCAGATTAAGCAAAGTTTTCATCTTCAGAGAGCAGGGACAAAGCTAGCGGTAGTGTATTGTTTTTGTTTTGTTTTCCTAAATGCCGCACTGCATGTTGAACCTTTCAAGTGAATTAGGAATGAATGCAGAGGTATTTTGTAAACCTTAAAGTACCGTATGAATATAGGACATAATTGTCTTCAGGATACTCTGCCCCGAGAGAAAAAAGTTATCACAGGAGATGGATTATTTGGGAAGGAAGTGTTGAGAAACAACTTTTACAGATTTTTCAAGCGCTTCATCTAGAAGCTACTCCCACCACCATGTTTCTTCAGTGGAAACTAAGATCGAAATCCAATGAAGAGAAAATAGAAGTTATTCGGAAGCGGGAAATAGCACAATGGCCTCGTTCTGTCTGTTATGGACGGCATGTTTGTGTCTCTCAAAAATTCATACATTGAAATACTAATCTTCAACGTGGAGATATTTGAAGATGTAGCCTTTGGGAGACAATTAGATCATGACGGTAGGGCCCTCATGATGGGATAAGTGCCCTTGTAGAAGGAACATTGAGAGATCTTGTCTCTCTGCTCTCTGCCATGTGAGCCTACAACTAGAAGATGCCCATCTGCAAATCAGGAAGCAGGCCCTCACCAGATGCCAGATTTGCCAACACCTTGATCTTGGACTTCCCAGCCTCCAGAGTTGTGGGAATTATATGCCCATTGGTTAAGCCACCCAGGCTATAGTGATTTGTTATAGACCATCTCTTTTAATGTTTTTACTGGGAATGCAAAGAAACCTTATGCTTCTCTTTGCTTTTAGAAGAGAAACTCTTTATTTGTGCCAGTGATAGTCTCCAAGTAAGTAAAGGGGGCTAATCCAGACCCAGTTAAGAGCAGAGTCCTTGAATTCTTACTCCTTAGCAACCATCTTCGAATAAAAACAAGGACATCAAAATGGGACATCTAGCAGTATAGTAAGAATCACAGAGTTGAAATTTCTTAGTAGAAACTGGTGTCTTCGTAGTTGTTGGATAAAGAAAGCATATTTTCTTTAAAAAGCATTCATCGAATTCAGCTGTGATTAGAAATTATTGATACATTTAAATGAAAAAAATTTATATATCTAATTTGGAGGAAAATTAAGAAGTTTAAAAATGTGGTTTTTTTTTTTTTTTT